CGATCTGTAAAATTCCTTACGTGACAGAAAAAAGAATATTATTTTCGAAGTCTGGGTAGCTGAATTAGGAAAATCCGTTATTATAAACAAAACAAATTTTATGAAGTTTATATTCGCAGACCTGTGTAATTGGACTACTTCACATTCTCATTACACTTATGAGGAATAAGATAAAATAAGATTGAAATGTTTTTGCCGCGCTTCTACAAGTATTTATATAGTTTTTGATGTGCGTGTTTTTTGTTTGTTTGTTTGTTTATTTGTTTTTTGCGTCCAAAGAAATCAGTTATATTAGTTTCTTGAAAATAGATTGTGTAGCCTAATCAACGCTACTCACTTCTGAACTAAGCATAATAATATTTTCACTTATTGCTTAGGTTGAAATTTAATATGAACATGTACTTCAACAATGGCGTCTTAATTCTCTCTTGTTGGCTTTAAATTTCAAATAGTTTTTCCCGGTTTCTGCAACAACAACCAACTAGTTATAATGAACGAGTTGAACATGGTTTGAAACTTTTCTTTCATATCTAGCCATCATATTTTATGTTCTCTGGTTTTAAGAGAATGAACGTAATAGAATCTCTATCAGCATTTTAAGGCTACGTGCGAAAGCATCAAAGCTAAAGGAAGAAACTATAGTCTGCTGTGGGCTATCCATTCCTATTGTGTCAATTTAAGTACCCCAAACACTGTCGGACAGTTTCACTGTTCAGCACCAAAATTATCCGTCAGTTGTTGTTTGATATTATTATGCTTGTCGTACTTTATGACAGTACTAATAACGTTTAGTCATTGTCAAAGCTAATGTTAAAACATCGCAGCCAATAATTTTAAAATAGCTTTTTTCCCTGTGATATTCTGATCGTAACACCACCTCTACCATATTTACTTTACAGTATAATGATATATTTTAATAGGTAATACATTTTATTCTCTTTGTCGTTCTTCAGAGTTAAGAAATATAATTATTATCTGAATAGTCTTACACAACTGTGTAATACAGTAACATTCTCTGTGGTATTGTGCAGAAATGTGTAATACAGTGACTTTCTCTGTGATGTTATTCAGAACTGAGTAGCCTACTTTTACCATATTATCTAGGAAATTGTGCCTAACTGTAGTAGTTATGGAACACAATTACTCTATAACAAACCATAGAATATAATCACACTTGATGCTATTGTGGAATATATTTACTCTCTCTTTATCACTGTACAAAGCTATAGAATGTAATATTTCTGTGATATTCTTAGGTCTACGACAGGATGCAAGACAATACCGGTTTCAGAATAGCTCAGTCTGGTGACGCAACCTGTGACGGCTTGTTTTCGGCCATCGAAGGATCCCGTACTATGAAACTTACACGAAGTAAGCTGAAATCCGAAATAAATGAATGAATGAACTAATAAACTAATTATATAATCCTACTAAACTAATTACATAAGTTAACTGACTTCAAATACTGAAAAGAAAACTAAAAAATTAGTACAAATGTATTCTTAAAATGCCACATGTAAAACAGAGTGTAAATATATAAATTTGGGTTATGATAGAACTGGCGAAGTACCAACACTATGTTACCTTGTATGTAACGCCGAAGCTATATAAATACGAACACTAAGTCACTTTGTATGTAACGCCGAAACTATAGAAATACGAACACTAAGTCACTTTGTATGTAACGCCGAAACTATAGAAATACGAACACTAAGTCACTTTGTATGTAACGCCGAAACTATAGAAATACGAACACTAAGTCACTTTGTATGTAATGCCGAAACTATAGAAATACGAACACTAAGTCACTTTGTATGTAACGCCGAAACTATAGAAATACGAACACTAAGTCACTTTGTATGTAATGCCGAAACTATAGAAATACGAACACTAAGTCACTTTGCATGTAACGCCGAAACTGGCGATGTATGAACTTTTTTTCTTTTTTAGAATGGTAAACGTAATTTTTACTTTCATATTTTGGTTGGTTTTTCATCTAAATCCTTTTCTTAAGAATAATCTAAAATACTTTGGGTTTTTGAATAACATATGACATTATCCATTATTATTAAATAGACCAACTCGATAATAGATATATGTTTTGATGTTGAGCTTTGTAAAATTATTTGAAAAAAAAAAGACGCGTACACAGAGCAAAATATTTTCCTCTTTTTATTGAAATTATATTTTTCTAGCATCAATCGTTTCTATGTTTACAAATGCTTTTCTCTATTTGTATTAAAAATAACAACAATTAACCTGTCATCGAGGTAGCGCCTGTATTATAGCTGTATAACACTGGTTTATTGTTCATATTCTTAAGTTCTTTCCTACAACAAACTAGCCTTTAAAGATTCTTTCAAATTTCAAAAATATCAATTATTGATATTTATGATCAATATTTATGATCAATATGATCAATTATTACGGTTAGTATATATTTCGAATAACCAATATTCCCCTGGATAAAATTAATATCAACTTCCGCTCAAAGCAATGTACCTACTTAGATCAAAACTAGAAGTCAACCCGTTAGCGAGCACAGCTAATTAAGTATACTGTTCCTACGTTCTTACTTATAAAGATTAGAATGCATTGATTCATCAGTTGGGTACCCTCACTGTTAATGGTACTTAAATAATTAAGTATACTGTTCCTACGTTCTTGCTTATAAAGATTAGAATGCATTGATTTATCAGTTGGGTACTCTCAATGTTAATGGTACTTAAATAATTAAGTATACTGTTCCTACGTTCTTGCTTATAAAGATTAGAATGCATTGATTCATCAGTTGGGTACCCTCACTGTTAATGGTACTTAAATAATTAAGTATACTGTTCTTACGTTCTTACTTATAAAGATTAGAATGCATTGATTCATCAGTTGGGTACCCTCACTGTTAATGGTACTTTCACCCATAAGCCTAATAATATCTCCCTAAATTAGTCTAGCTTATAATAATTAGATTAGTCCTAACAATGCAGACTAGTCTATAATAAAAGTAACAATAAAGAAAGAACAGAGTACAATCTTACTTACAGAACATATAAACACTATATGCTTTATAATTCTTTACAAAAGTGCTTCTGACTGTACATTCTAATTTAGTTAGTTCCGTATATCTGTAAATAAATGGAAGTATAAAGTAAACCTTATATTTACGCTCATTAGCTGTTGTTGGTTCAGATTTCACTGATAACAAATAGAAAATAATATTATAGTTAGTCTTAGCTTCCTAGTTTACCCCCTGAAGAAGAAAGCCCATCTTTCGAAAACGGTCGGGTTGTAGGGTTTTTATCGTTTTATAGTTAGTCTACATTACTCATCAAACTTAATGATTCCTGTATTTCAGTCAATAATTGTCAGCCCTCGTAAGGTAAAGTGTAAGCCCCTGGGACCCTTAGTTTGATAAACTTATGTAGGAGGTATCGTAATAAGCTATCCTCATCTCTGACACTGTTTGTTCTGTGTTGTCATCAAACTTAATGATTCCTGTATTTCAGTTAATAATTGTCAGCCCTCGTAAGGTAATGTGTAAGCCCTCTGGGACCCTTAGTTTGATAAACTTATGTAGGAGGTATCGTAATAAGCTATCCTCATCTCTGACATTGTTTGTTCTGTGTTGTCATCCATGGGTGAAGTGTAATCGAGTGAGAAAATGTATGTAATATTCAAAAACTGACAGCCTTGAGAAGCATTACCACCACTTTTAACTCGATTGTCAAGGCCATAGGAGTAAATTGTGACTAGAGGTTTCATCTCTCTCTAATAAGCCACTTGAAAATTCACATCGTATGAATTCTTCTAAGAGTCGTATACGAAAATCTTTAAAGTATGCACTAGAGAGTTAAAGTGTTGATAAAAGAAACTTGGGTATTTTTTTAACATTTCCTTTCAAGCAGCGTCTTCTATGACCAAATATATGAGATCACCATGGGTTTCTCTCTTGGACCAATCCTCACCGATAGCTTTCTGTCACCACGAGCACGTATGCTTCGATTTAGACAACTGCTCGCCTGATTCGAAACGCACCAATTAACCTACTTAGAAAAACTGAACACGCGCCTACTTTCACCTGTTTCGCGTGTAAGCCAGTGAGAGTGTTTTAGCTTTTTGGATTTAAAAGCAGTGTAAAAAGGAATATAATTTTATAAATTCATACACCTGTTCTGAATTTATTACGATATATTACTTCAAAATAATTTGCAAATGAATAAATTTTTAATAACATTTATTCAAAAGCTTTGTGAGTATTGTGGGTGGGAAAATGAGCGTTACGGATATATGTACATTACTTCTGAGAGATGTACTTATGCGTCCGGATTTTTAATGTTTTGAATACGCAGAGCAGTAAACGTGAATCACTGCGGTATGTCGCGCTATATTTACGTTGAAATAAGCCTTCGAGGACTGAAGTGGAAAAAGCAGTTAATGTTGTGAGGACTTGCTGTCGCTAGTTGTATATATTAAATATATAAATAGAAAACAAACTTTCCTATCACCTTCGAGGACTGAAGTGGAAAAAGCAGTTAATGTTGTGAGGACTTGCTGTCGCTAGTTGTATATATTAAATATATAAGAAAACAAACTTTCATATCACCTTCGAGGACTGAAGTGGAAAAAGCAGTTAATGTTGTGAGGACTTGCTGTCGCTAGTTGTATATATTAAATATATAAGAAAACAAACTTTCCTATCATTCATCTCGTGTAATATTGTACACCAGACCGTAAGTAATCCTAGTCCTAGTTCTTCGGAAGCATAGTAGAACCAGTGAAAGATGTGAATCACTTTGATCATACTAAATTTTTCTAAAACCTGATTGGTTGGTTTTCTAATATATATATATTCGTGACTTTTTTTCATCATTCAGTTCGTCATCCTCACGGAAAATGTCACTTTCCAAATTGGATCTCCGCAGCAGACCGGTGGAGGACACTTGACACCTCGTGGACCTATGTGTTTAGTGACCCCATTACGTCTTTCCACGTGTATAACAGTACCAGCGAGGGGCTACAAACACGGGCTGTTTGTAACAGTGTTGATCAGGCAACTGACGATGCTACACGATTTGTCGTACAGACTACATCTCTTTGGTAAGTTTTTCTCTACTCTGAGATTAGCCTTCCCCTCCACCCCAGGTAGCTTTGTAGTAAGGTTGAGGGCTTATAACGCTAAAAAACGGGGTGGAATCTCTGTGTACAACGCAGATGGCCTAATGTGCAGTTTTCCGCTTCAATCAACAAAGTCTGCAATAAACAACTAAATACCTGTATGAGTTATCTCCCAAGAAGCCAAACGAGCAAAACACGTAAATAATATAAAATAATATGTTACTTTTAGGGTCGATTAGACTAGTTTCAAGACCAAAGGATTACATTTTTAGAATATCTGTTTTTTAACCATTAAACCATAGCAAGCTGATTAAGTTGTACGAGAGAATATGTGTGCTACTAAAGGTGTATAACAATATTCTTGAATAAGGTGAGATTTTTACCTGACATCTGAGATGCTATTCTTATATATATTCCTTCTAAACTCTGAATGTGTAAATTAAACTTAATGATATAAACACAAGTTAGGTCTAACCGATAGTGTTCTTCTGCCTATCTACTTTTTTAAATAAATGTGCGTTTGCTTATCTGTTCGTACAGGTATCAGTTTGTCTAATGTTTCAATAGTTTATATTACTGAGGACACTGTTCGTTACAATACGATAAAGAATCACTCCTTAGTGGATTATCAAATTACGGCTTGTCTTCAACACACTGTTCGTAATGTCTGTAGTGGAAGTACATGATGTTTTCATTCTTCAGACTCAGCTCTTCTCTATTTAGTGTGATTTAGAGATCGTGTAAGGATGATTGATTCTTTACGAACTATTAATCTGATTCATAATAGGAAAATCCGTCTTCTTGTGCAACGTCATCTTCACTAGAGCCGTTTATTACAACGAGAAAGGGTCTGTAATTATTTTTCCTTTGAGTTTCCAGAATACTAAAGAGATTTCGAGATTTGAACGTCAATTCATTAATTTTTCTTTCATTTGATAAGTAGCTAACAACTTTTAATTACCAACTATAGGCGGACTGTGTTTGTCAAAATCTTCAGCACGACATAAAGGTATACATATTAAGAGCACTTTTTGTTGGAATTTTTGTACCACAATAAATGTTCTATTCATCGTAATCTTGCATTAATATTGCACTAAGCACAGAGATTTTCATGTATCTATATATAAACCATAAACTAACAGGATAAGACCACGGGCAACCGCACAGGGAAATTCAATTGCTTGTGCATTCTGTGTGAATTTATAAGCAGTGGTGTAATTAAATACTTAACGGTTATATTAGAAAGAGACGATAGAAGCTTACCGGTTTTCCTTCCCAAGACTGACGGGCATATAATGTTTGATGTGCTAGAAATGTGTGCAAATGAAAGATGTTACTTTCTGAAGGAATATTTGATATTATCTTTCGGTCTTTTAGTTCATTTTTTTCAAATAAAATGTGACATTTAAGTGATTCTCAGCTTCACACTAACAAGTTTGAATTCAAAGTCAAAGTAAATAGTGCCACCGAAACCTCGAACAATGTAACTTTAAAATTGTGTTTTGTTTATCTTTATAGTTATCATAAAATTAGTTGCGTTTTAATTCAATAATTATGTTCCCAGTTGGAACAGCGCCAGAGTCCGGAGTTCGATTCCCCATGGTAGGTACAGCTGATAGCCCAATGAGGCTTTGCTTTAACAAATATCAGTAATTATGTTTTTCGCAAACATAACGATATTCTCTGTGAAGGAGTGAGAGAGATAATTTATGTCTAGGCCATATTAATATTAGTATTGTGTTATTTTGATTATATTTGTTTTCAAACATTGTTATCGAAAGTACTTATAAGGGTTAGCTAGGGTGGCCTAGTTATCAGTGCGCAAGGCTGCCTATAAGAAAGTCCAGGTTTCGAATACGTGGCAAGGCTACCTATAATAAGGTCCAGGTTTCGAATACGTGGCAAGGCTGCCTATAATAAGGTCTAGGTTTCGAATACGTGGCAAGGCTACCTATAAGAAGGTCCAGGTTTCGAATACGTGGCAAGGCTGCCTATAGGAAGGTCCAGACTTCGATTACGTTACATGCCGTTGAACAGGCTCCTATGAGTTAGATATTCGGTTAAAGGTAGCCGCATAGGCGGCAGATTGTATTGACTGGTAGACTCCTTCCAAACACGCTCTGCTCGGCAGTTCAAAGTTAGGAAAAATTATGTCTAAACGTAGGCTTCTCTTACTTAGCTACTTAGCTCATGTGTCGCGTAAAGTGTGTGTGTTCATATAGCAAAGCCACATCTGGCTATCTGCTGTGTCCACCTAGGGTAATCGAACCCTTGATTTTAGCGTTCTAAATCCTAAGAAGTACCGCTGTCCCCCCGGGGGACGTCGAGTAAAGAGTTATTCATGTGAGAATCCCGAATTATCAAAGTTAAGAAATTTAGGCACGTTTAACTTAATGTATCAATTTTAGATAAAAAATAATAATAAAATATTGCTTAAACATATCTAATGTGTGATAAAATGAAACAAATTCTGCATGAAAAAAAACAAGATTTTCATAATCTTAAAAAATATATTTTGTTATCAGTCCCATATTCTGCTTTTATTTTGTATCAATAAAATAATTATATATATATTTTTTGAAATGTAATATCGATGAACTATTATCTGGTGACTCAGTCACAAATCGAGTTGTTTTAAAGCCACCTTTCAACTTGTGTTCATGTAGATATATTCAATCCCCTATTATAATTCATTCAATCAACTAAGCAAGTGTACCATATGAACCAACCAGATTAGAAAAAGCTTAGACGGAGAGACTTAGAAAACAAAACTACTGTATAAAGGCCGTCATCTCAAGCTTTCCCAAACACAAATGAAAATTATTTCAATTTTGGGTGATTTCTTTTGTGTTTGTTGCCTTTTAACGAATGGTGATTCTTTTTCTGTAAAATTCTATCTGCAAAGTTAAATTGAGCATATGTTCTGGTTATTCCTGCAGTGTTAAATTGATCATACGTTCTGGTTATTCTTGCAAACTTAAATTGATCATACGATTTTACTATTCC